TTCCATTGGCTCCTCTGACGAGGTGGGTGTGGCTTGTTGCTGGCTGAGTCACCTTCTGGCTGAGGATGGAATACAACACAGAAATATCATCTACAGCTTCTTCCGGATCCAAGATTAAAGTGTACATCATTGTTCTTGAGAAGGCCAGAGTTTTCGTCCTCACATGCCACATCACAGAATGTTTCCTAGCGCTAACATTGATCATTGTGCTATTGCACTGTAAACAGAAAATACCTACATTCGCACTAAGATAAAAGCATATTTCAGATTTGTGGACTGTTGTCCCTTGTCTGGGCCTGCTCCCCAGTTTCCTCCATTGGTTTGCCCTCTCGTCCCTCTCCCCCCTCCCTCGCTTCCCTCCTCCCCCTTCCCTCCTCTCCTCCTCACCCCTGTCATCTCCCCCTCGTCTCTTCCACCGACCGTCTCCATTGTGGCAGACCTTCTTCTCTCAGTTTTGGCCTCACTGCAGTCTGCAGCCTCTGTCGCGGCTGCTGCACTTGGCTGCAGGAACAGAGGAGAGATGAAACTATATACACATACAGTAGAGTAGCTGCTAAAAATATATGACACCTCCACTTTTGCCATAAGAAGTTGCCTTTTCTATGAGGTTTAAATTACACTTTAGACTATATACCCTATTCCATAGTCCACCTATAGCACAATAATTGACTAAGAACACCCAAAATCGATGAAGTAAGCAGATAGGAGAGATAGAGTATGCGTATTACCATAGTCCAACTACAGCAAATAATGAAAAGCACTGAAGTGCAAACCCTCGGCACACTGTGACGCGCAAGCATAAGTAAACGCATGCGCCGTACCACTAATTGATGGCTGGGTTTAGTTTTAGCTGTTACTCGTGGTCTCTTGCCAGCTCGCGCAAGTCTGACGCGGGCTACTACACTATAAAGCATGCGAGAGGCTACAGCTGCGTTGCATCTTCTGGTGCCTCCGAAGTACGCAGAGCACGCGGATCGATCCGACTGTGGTAAGCCATCCCGTCCGTTGTGTATTTGCATATTGGCTTTTTCGCGCTCTAGCTTTGCAACGGAGCATTTTCAGAGAAAACCGCCTTTATTTTCTGACCTTCATTGCCCGTTTCAGTAGGTCGTATCCTTTGTGAGACGAACAAACACTCGAGAAGTGAGATTGAGAGTACAGACAGACAGACAGACAGACAGACAGACAGACAGACAGACAGACAGACGACAAACCCAAGGGGAGGGAGAGGGAAGAGGGGAGGAGGCAAGAAGGTGATAAGCGATAAAGAGATGGGGAGAGGGTGAAACAAGGGCACATAGGGGGAGAGGGAATAAATCAAGGGTGGGGAGAGAGACACATACACATATGTAGTAGGAAAATGTGTGATCACAATGTGATGTTGGATGCCATGGGTATCTCCTTAGCAGAAATTGATGTATATAACATTAACGCCTAGTATTATAGCCATATAAAATTCTTATTGACTTATGGAGACCTCCGGCATATACACATACGTCCGTGGTTTGCTAAGGGTTAAAAAACAAAGCAGTTGTAATAACCCTGCAGCCAAAACGTTAGCATAGAGCATGTGTATATACAAAGCGCTGAGGGTAGGTACTGCTTTTTAGACGTGTACTGAATGGAGAGTACCATTGGCGATGTCACAGTTGAGAGCGACGGCAGTCTCGTAGGTCCAGCAGCGGGCCACGTTCCTGATGGTGTAGCCACCTCCTCCGAGGAGCAGGAGAGGGAGGTTGTAGCGACGGATGAAGTCCACACACTCAGCATGACCTGTGGAGAGAGGGGGGTAGCAGTATGCATAGAGAGACTATAGGACAAGATGAAGTTGATTACAAAGCTTTCAATAATAGCCATTTCATCTCATCTAGACATTACGCTACGTGTAGCAATAAGCATCTACTAAATTGCATAGAGAGTAGACCTACAGAACACGCAACCAGTGGTAATTGTAAAGTGATTTCTTGGTTTTGGTGTGATTTGTTGAT